AATCGCTAGTATTACCACCCATTCCAGGATACAACTGATTCCCGCGTGGTTCTAGCACGGATTTATAGTCCTACTTCTTTTGGTGATATTTATTAGTCGAGTAAAACAAAACACGATATATGGTAAATTAAATGCCAAGCTTAATCGGAATTGCTTTTCTGTCTCTTTAAAACTTCGTTTGATTTAAATATGAATTTATTTTTGTGCAAAAATCTGAAGCAAACAGTTTTAGGGGCAAAAATGTGCTTGCGTAAGACGAGGCTCTTAGATTTCCTCCTTCCTGGTCTGCATACCCTTAGAATACCCACGTTCGTTCGGCTTTGTCATGTTTTTTGGAATAAGTAAATGTGAAAGGCAAGTATAAGTTGAATAGGGCGTGAACATGAAACCTTTCTTTGGTTTGCAGATTGTTAACTCCTCAGTCAAGTGGTTAAATTCTTAGCCGGCCCCCTTTTCTAAGGAAAATCAAGACTGCATAAGTACTACAAAGCCTCTTCTTCCTTTCAGCACCGTCCCTGGTGCTAAAACTTATGAGCTCCTCTCGAAGTTGCCATGCGGTTGTTTCCTACCTTCCGTAGGGACGTAAACCTCATCTTTGTATCCAACAGATGGCGCCTCTTTGTAGGGTGGCATCTTTTTGTAGTCCACGGTTACCGACTGGGTACGCAGTTGTGTGTTGCCAATGCGGTAGTTTGCAGGCGAGATTGCTTTCACTACTCTAACTTTGTTCCTTTCTTCATGGGTGACGGAACTTGCTGTGTATTCCAGGTGGGATAATAGGCCTGTAAATTTTCACTAAGTCTCCTTCTCGGTAGACTTTCGTCCGGCTGTATCGATTGCAATATTTCCTCTGCCTGATATGAGACAGCCGTAAATGTTGGCTTGAGTTATTAAAGTTTTTCCAATGTCTTCTTTCAAAAGCAGCATGTACTCTAAAACATTATTAGCTGCTTCGTCAGTGTTTGTCAAGAAGATGTCAGAATACAACTCTCTTTTTACAACCTGTGAGCATCTTGACGCATAAACCGTAGCCCTGTATGCGAGAAGGACACTTTCTAGGCTTGAATCCCAGTCATCTGGTTGTCTGTCTTTAGTGAAGGCCGTCAGTGGTCCAACCAGAGTGCGATTCGGTCTAACCACCTCCCCGTTACATTGTGGATGTGAAGGCATCGTGCATGTCTTTGAGATCTGGCAGATCTTACTCACTTGAGTGAAGAGTCGACTCTCGAAGTTAGGGCCTTAATAGCTATGAACTATTTTAGACACTCCATGCTGGTATGTTCACTAACTGAAAAAAAAACTGAAGCAACAGTTTTAGCGTCTTGTGACTGCATGGGTTCCATCCCAGCTACGTGCGTGAAGTAGTCTACCATAACCAAAATAGTATCGGTTTCCTCTCTTGGTGGGCGAAAGAGGACCCATAATATCTATACCTACTCTTTCCACTGTGAAACCGGTGGGCATGTGTTGCAGAGGTGCGATGGCTGTGGAGTGAGGCCTTTTAGAGCCTCTGCAAGTGGTACAGGCTCTTCAGAAGTCTAATAGGTCTGGAATGAGCAAAAGCCAGCAGTATCTTTTGCTCGAGGCGTCTAGCATCTTTTCACTTACATGGCCAAGGTGCTCGTGTAACTCTTGTGGGACTGTTTGCACTAATAAACCAGAAATCACTGGATGCTTAGGAGACTGGACGCCTTCTTGTTACCATAATACCTCATTCTCCAGATCTGTCTGACAGCCTTGTTAGATAACGTCATCTCTTCCGCTGTGGGCTTATACGTGGGTGTCAGGATCTTCCCGTATATTGGAGCCGTGTCAGGATCGGCACCCTGCATATTTCTCTTATGGATTTAGAGCAGGCCGCTTAAAACATGGTGCCCACCATAACGTCACCTGTTTTTGCTGCAGTTGGTCTGCGAGCTAGTGCATCTGCATCACCATGTTCTTTTTCTTTTTGGTATTGGTCTGTAATATCATATTGTTGCAGTTCTTTGTACCAGAATGCAACTTGGCGATTGATCTTCTTCATTGCTTTCAACCAGGCGAGTGCCTGATGGTGAGTTCTAACAATGAACCTCCTCGCTATCAGATAAAGTCTAAAGTGTCTTACCATTGACCAGATAGCAAACAGCTTATGCTACGTTGTACTTTTTTGTCCCATTGTTTTACTGAGGCTAATAATCGCGTGGGCGATGACGTTTCCTTTCCTTCTTTGTCCCTTTGTCAGAATACACCACCCACTGCCGTGTCGCTTACATCCGTATCCAGTACGAACAGTGAGGCGCTCGATTCGAAGTTTGGTAATGCTACAATCAATGCGAAGCAGAGCATTCGCTTCAGTTCCTTAAACGCCTCATCATGCTAATTCTCCCGAATGAAATTCTTTTTCGCCTGATTATCGGCTAATTTATGTAGTGGGCTGGCGATCTTAGCGAAGCCTTTAACGAAACGTCTGTAGTAATTTGCCAAACCTGGAAAACTGGAGAGCTCCGTCTAATTGGTTGGTGTAAGCCATGTCCTCACTTCTTTTGCATAGTCTTCGTTGACTGCCATCCCATCTGACGAGACTGTATGTCCTAGGAAGGTAATTAAGAGTTGCAGGAAGTGGTTCAAGGTTAAACCCGCTTCTCGTAGACGACCCAGCACTAGTTTCAGGTTGGCGTTATGCTCTCGAATATCTCTACTAAGAACGGGAATATCGTAGAGATAGATTATGCAATGCTTTGGGAATAGGCCAATCAGAGCCGTTTGTATCAGGTCTTTGGAAGTGAGCCGCTGCGTTACAGAGTCCAGAGGGCATCGTTTGGAGTTCAAAGAGCCTATTCGTCAATATGATGGCTGTCTATTCTCCGTCTACTTCTGTCACTTCCACTTGCCAGTATCCCGACTTTGAGTCGAGGGTGGGTAACCATTGCGACTCATGTAAGGAGTCTAGTGAATCGTTAATGTGGGGTAAGGGGAACGCATCCTACTTAGTTACAGAGTTTAACTTCCTATAGTCGATGCATATCCATAGCCTACCAACACTCTTCTTACTAGAGCGATCGGAGAGGCCCACGGTGACCTTGGACGGCTTTATAACCTCGTCTAGAATCATCTCTTCAACTAGATGGATTACTTTTTCTAGCAGAGGTGGTGGAATACGTCTGGATGATTGCCAGATGGGTCTTTCTGTCGCTGAGCTTCTTAATTAAGGCAAGAGGTCGGATTCCGTGTCTGATCTAAACCGTTGTCCAGTTATCGACCTTGTTTGGAGCACAGCCACTGAAAACACGTTCCGCTAGATGTTAGGGGTTCGTAGCGTACTCTTCGTCATCCTCATCAGCTTTTTGGAAACGTAGCAAGAAATCGCTAACGAGGGTTTGTTCTTCCCGATCGTTGACGAGTTGAGCCAACGTGTAGCAGAATTGATAAATGTCGGTATCGTAAGTTATGCCGGCGTCGACTGCGGACAAAAATAAATCATGGTAGGGAGCGCGGAGAAGTAAGGGTGTTCTTTAGCGATGAGGATAGAGATAGAAGTTGAATGTAGCAGTATTGGGTCGGTCATCGAAGTTCATGTCATCTCTAAAGGGGGGCGAAGACCGCCGGCGCCACCACCAGTGTAGGACGAGGCTCGCAGATTTCCTTTTCCCTGGTCCTCATGCTCTTATAACACCCACTTTCATTCGGCTTCATCATGTTTATCGGGATAAGTAAATGAGGAAAGCAGGTGCAAGCTCAAGGAGGAGTAGACACGCTACCTTTCTTAGGATTGCAGGAAGTTGACCCCTCAGTCATGAGGTTCGGTTCGTGAGCCCACCTCCTCTCTGAAAGGAGCATTAAAACAACAAGTATTGCACTTGTACATCAACTTGGCAATAAATTGAGCTGCGTGTCCCTCGATTAGCTCGTATTTAAAATTTATAGAAATAATTTAGATTTTTTTGTCTGTGTGCAGTCTTTAGGCTTCAGACTGACTGATATTTTGATTAAATATGTTTCACAATCCTGGCACTTTAGCCATCCAATTTTAACGCCACTTCCGATTATTTCAAGACAGGCTCGTTACATGCGGCTGTTTCAGCAATAATTTTTTTGAGCAGTCTTCGCTATAATGTATTACTTAGGTTGTTTTAATATATCTTTCAAGTAGGAGGCAATCTGGAAATACGAATCTGGTGATAGGTTCGTCCCCTTCCGTGCCTAGTGATTGTGGTTCTCCCCCTCCTTAAACGTTGTACTTTCTCTCCCAATCTTTTCCTCTTTAATAAATATGTCTAAATCAAATCAACCGGGCTGTTCTAAGAACACTAGGAACAGGGAAGAAGAGACCGGTGGGTCTCGCTTTACAATAGTATACATGCTGTCTACTCCCAGCGTTTAAGAGAATTAAAGCTTTCCTAATACTTACTTTGTAATGGGGCAACACTAAAAAGTTAAGGAAAAAAATAGCGAATTGAAAAGAAATGAAAAAAAGAATATGATTATTCGACATGGATGTTTTGATGCACAATTGTGCGTGGAGCATGATGTATTATTCAACTCTCTACAGTGGCGGTAAGACATTCAATTTTGAGGCTAGTTTGTCCCAAGGACTAGAAATCGTGTGGTAGGCAAAATTTGAAATTACACGCGGGTCAAAGGACAGTGGAAGGTCAACGGCATTTGACCTCTACATCAAACGAAAAGGCTAAACTTATGAATAGCGAGGTTGCCACCGAGTGCCGTACAATTTTATCAAATAAATCTATTAAAGGAGAGTGTTACTGTAAAAATTAAAAGGAAAAAACCCAAAGCATCAGAACCAGAATAGCGAGAATGAGTATCAAATTACGACCATCAGGCTTCTAAAAACCGAGACACTGACAAAATCAGGCAGAAGCATGGGAATTCAGTGCATTGCACAATTTACCAACACCAAAAAACCAACGGGATGCTTCGTGTTGCTTAGTACCAGCTGTCTCCTCTTCACAGCACTTTCTGCCACTAACAACTTGAGTGGACATTCACACCTGAGCAACAGTTGCCTCTATGCTCCCCTTCTACCTCCTCTCTGCTCATTCTTTCCCCACTACTACAATTTGCTCAAACGCCTGTGAGACCTTTGCCCTAGCATACGATTTCCACGATATTGCAAACACGAAGACGTAGCTATTCCACGCTAACGCAACACCAACTCTGACTGCTCTCTCTTGCATCCGCATGCAAAACATGGGAAGAAGTGCATGGGTATTAGTATTGTTACACTTTTGGAAATCCCAATTGAGTGGGAAGGCGAAAGCTGTGCTAAATAGAAGGCGAAAAGTGGCTGTTCTCACATGGTACACGAGGAATTGGCAATGCTTCAGGCTATTTGTATTCCACCTCAAATGCCAAGCTTAATCGGAATTGCTTTTCTGTCTCTTTAAAACTTCGTTTGATTTAAATATGAATTTATTTTTGTGCAAAAATCTGAAGCAAACAGTTTTAGGGGCAAAAATGTGCTTGCGTAAGACGAGGCTCTTAGATTTCCTCCTTCCTGGTCTGCATACCCTTAGAATACCCACGTTCGTTCGGCTTTGTCATGTTTTTTGGAATAAGTAAATGTGAAAGGCAAGTATAAGTTGAATAGGGCGTGAACATGAAACCTTTCTTTGGTTTGCAGATTGTTAACTCCTCAGTCAAGTGGTTAAATTCTTAGCCGGCCCCCTTTTCTAAGGAAAATCAAGACTGCATAAGTACTACAAAGCCTCTTCTTCCTTTCAGCACCGTCCCTGGTGCTAAAACTTATGAGCTCCTCTCGAAGTTGCCATGCGGTTGTTTCCTACCTTCCGTAGGGACGTAAACCTCATCTTTGTATCCAACAGATGGCGCCTCTTTGTAGGGTGGCATCTTTTTGTAGTCCACGGTTACCGACTGGGTACGCAGTTGTGTGTTGCCAATGCGGTAGTTTGCAGGCGAGATTGCTTTCACTACTCTAACTTTGTTCCTTTCTTCATGGGTGACGGAACTTGCTGTGTATTCCAGGTGGGATAATAGGCCTGTAAATTTTCACTAAGTCTCCTTCTCGGTAGACTTTCGTCCGGCTGTATCGATTGCAATATTTCCTCTGCCTGATATGAGACAGCCGTAAATGTTGGCTTGAGTTATTAAAGTTTTTCCAATGTCTTCTTTCAAAAGCAGCATGTACTCTAAAACATTATTAGCTGCTTCGTCAGTGTTTGTCAAGAAGATGTCAGAATACAACTCTCTTTTTACAACCTGTGAGCATCTTGACGCATAAACCGTAGCCCTGTATGCGAGAAGGACACTTTCTAGGCTTGAATCCCAGTCATCTGGTTGTCTGTCTTTAGTGAAGGCCGTCAGTGGTCCAACCAGAGTGCGATTCGGTCTAACCACCTCCCCGTTACATTGTGGATGTGAAGGCATCGTGCATGTCTTTGAGATCTGGCAGATCTTACTCACTTGAGTGAAGAGTCGACTCTCGAAGTTAGGGCCTTAATAGCTATGAACTATTTTAGACACTCCATGCTGGTATGTTCACTAACTGAAAAAAAAACTGAAGCAACAGTTTTAGCGTCTTGTGACTGCATGGGTTCCATCCCAGCTACGTGCGTGAAGTAGTCTACCATAACCAAAATAGTATCGGTTTCCTCTCTTGGTGGGCGAAAGAGGACCCATAATATCTATACCTACTCTTTCCACTGTGAAACCGGTGGGCATGTGTTGCAGAGGTGCGATGGCTGTGGAGTGAGGCCTTTTAGAGCCTCTGCAAGTGGTACAGGCTCTTCAGAAGTCTAATAGGTCTGGAATGAGCAAAAGCCAGCAGTATCTTTTGCTCGAGGCGTCTAGCATCTTTTCACTTACATGGCCAAGGTGCTCGTGTAACTCTTGTGGGACTGTTTGCACTAATAAACCAGAAATCACTGGATGCTTAGGAGACTGGACGCCTTCTTGTTACCATAATACCTCATTCTCCAGATCTGTCTGACAGCCTTGTTAGATAACGTCATCTCTTCCGCTGTGGGCTTATACGTGGGTGTCAGGATCTTCCCGTATATTGGAGCCGTGTCAGGATCGGCACCCTGCATATTTCTCTTATGGATTTAGAGCAGGCCGCTTAAAACATGGTGCCCACCATAACGTCACCTGTTTTTGCTGCAGTTGGTCTGCGAGCTAGTGCATCTGCATCACCATGTTCTTTTTCTTTTTGGTATTGGTCTGTAATATCATATTGTTGCAGTTCTTTGTACCAGAATGCAACTTGGCGATTGATCTTCTTCATTGCTTTCAACCAGGCGAGTGCCTGATGGTGAGTTCTAACAATGAACCTCCTCGCTATCAGATAAAGTCTAAAGTGTCTTACCATTGACCAGATAGCAAACAGCTTATGCTACGTTGTACTTTTTTGTCCCATTGTTTTACTGAGGCTAATAATCGCGTGGGCGATGACGTTTCCTTTCCTTCTTTGTCCCTTTGTCAGAATACACCACCCACTGCCGTGTCGCTTACATCCGTATCCAGTACGAACAGTGAGGCGCTCGATTCGAAGTTTGGTAATGCTACAATCAATGCGAAGCAGAGCATTCGCTTCAGTTCCTTAAACGCCTCATCATGCTAATTCTCCCGAATGAAATTCTTTTTCGCCTGATTATCGGCTAATTTATGTAGTGGGCTGGCGATCTTAGCGAAGCCTTTAACGAAACGTCTGTAGTAATTTGCCAAACCTGGAAAACTGGAGAGCTCCGTCTAATTGGTTGGTGTAAGCCATGTCCTCACTTCTTTTGCATAGTCTTCGTTGACTGCCATCCCATCTGACGAGACTGTATGTCCTAGGAAGGTAATTAAGAGTTGCAGGAAGTGGTTCAAGGTTAAACCCGCTTCTCGTAGACGACCCAGCACTAGTTTCAGGTTGGCGTTATGCTCTCGAATATCTCTACTAAGAACGGGAATATCGTAGAGATAGATTATGCAATGCTTTGGGAATAGGCCAATCAGAGCCGTTTGTATCAGGTCTTTGGAAGTGAGCCGCTGCGTTACAGAGTCCAGAGGGCATCGTTTGGAGTTCAAAGAGCCTATTCGTCAATATGATGGCTGTCTATTCTCCGTCTACTTCTGTCACTTCCACTTGCCAGTATCCCGACTTTGAGTCGAGGGTGGGTAACCATTGCGACTCATGTAAGGAGTCTAGTGAATCGTTAATGTGGGGTAAGGGGAACGCATCCTACTTAGTTACAGAGTTTAACTTCCTATAGTCGATGCATATCCATAGCCTACCAACACTCTTCTTACTAGAGCGATCGGAGAGGCCCACGGTGACCTTGGACGGCTTTATAACCTCGTCTAGAATCATCTCTTCAACTAGATGGATTACTTTTTCTAGCAGAGGTGGTGGAATACGTCTGGATGATTGCCAGATGGGTCTTTCTGTCGCTGAGCTTCTTAATTAAGGCAAGAGGTCGGATTCCGTGTCTGATCTAAACCGTTGTCCAGTTATCGACCTTGTTTGGAGCACAGCCACTGAAAACACGTTCCGCTAGATGTTAGGGGTTCGTAGCGTACTCTTCGTCATCCTCATCAGCTTTTTGGAAACGTAGCAAGAAATCGCTAACGAGGGTTTGTTCTTCCCGATCGTTGACGAGTTGAGCCAACGTGTAGCAGAATTGATAAATGTCGGTATCGTAAGTTATGCCGGCGTCGACTGCGGACAAAAATAAATCATGGTAGGGAGCGCGGAGAAGTAAGGGTGTTCTTTAGCGATGAGGATAGAGATAGAAGTTGAATGTAGCAGTATTGGGTCGGTCATCGAAGTTCATGTCATCTCTAAAGGGGGGCGAAGACCGCCGGCGCCACCACCAGTGTAGGACGAGGCTCGCAGATTTCCTTTTCCCTGGTCCTCATGCTCTTATAACACCCACTTTCATTCGGCTTCATCATGTTTATCGGGATAAGTAAATGAGGAAAGCAGGTGCAAGCTCAAGGAGGAGTAGACACGCTACCTTTCTTAGGATTGCAGGAAGTTGACCCCTCAGTCATGAGGTTCGGTTCGTGAGCCCACCTCCTCTCTGAAAGGAGCATTAAAACAACAAGTATTGCACTTGTACATCAACTTGGCAATAAATTGAGCTGCGTGTCCCTCGATTAGCTCGTATTTAAAATTTATAGAAATAATTTAGATTTTTTTGTCTGTGTGCAGTCTTTAGGCTTCAGACTGACTGATATTTTGATTAAATATGTTTCACAATCCTGGCACTTTAGCCATCCAATTTTAACGCCACTTCCGATTATTTCAAGACAGGCTCGTTACATGCGGCTGTTTCAGCAATAATTTTTTTGAGCAGTCTTCGCTATAATGTATTACTTAGGTTGTTTTAATATATCTTTCAAGTAGGAGGCAATCTGGAAATACGAATCTGGTGATAGGTTCGTCCCCTTCCGTGCCTAGTGATTGTGGTTCTCCCCCTCCTTAAACGTTGTACTTTCTCTCCCAATCTTTTCCTCTTTAATAAATATGTCTAAATCAAATCAACCGGGCTGTTCTAAGAACAC